AAAAAATTATTTTTTTGGTTTCTTTTAATTATATTTGGGCCGCAAATGGCTGCCCAATGGAAGTCAATTTTATGGGGCGTTGCTCCCCCCGATGATCAACGCCTTCTAGGCTCATCAATGATATTCCATTTTATTATTCTTAGATTCTGCTAAAGGACATTTTTCTTTCCATTGATTGTCTTTTTTTAACTTTTTGATTTTAGTACCTAATCTTCAAAGACGGATTGTTAGGAGAAATACCATGTGATAGCGACACGGAGACTATAACAATGGACAGAAACTCTCGATGTAGGGATCAAATTGCGGGTGGTGTTATTGCCACAGCCACTACTGTTAATATCACAGCTTTTTTTTAATTATTTGACTATTATACCCCTTATTTGAATCCAACTTGCAGCAGTCACCACCTTCTCCGCGTGGGTTAATGGTCAATTAATTAAAAAAGCTGTGGTGTTAACCTGTGAAGCTGTGGTAATAACACCACCCTCAAATTGCATTAGTGGAAATTTAAAATTTTTTTATAGGTTAAACTTCAAATTTGATCCTTAAACTATTTTATGGACTCTCTATTTAGTCCCTGAACTTAAAAATTTTTTGATTTGATCCCTGAATTATTACACGGACCTTGAATTTAGTCCTACTGTTTATCAATTTGCTCCAAAATTAGTCTTTTTGTACAAAAAAAAAAAATTAATGTGTTCATTACTTAATGAAGAAAAATAATAACTTAACGGAGAAAAATAATAACTTAACGGTCACGTGTTACATTAATAACAAGACACATTAGTTAGTTTTTGTACAGAAGAACTAATTTGAGGTAAATTAGTAAACAGTAAGAATCAAATCAAGGGTCTATATAATAGTTTAGAGACCAAATCAGAGATTTTTTTAGTTTAGAGATCAAATCAGAGATCTGTACAATAGTTCAAGGATTAAATTGGAGATTTAACCATTTTCATATCAATATTTAACTACATATTTTAAAATTTAAGAGATTATTTTAGAAATTTAACTATTTGTTTTAATTGTTAAAATTTTGAGTGACTAGTTGAAAATTGGTGTAAGACTTGTATTAATATAAATTAATCATAGCTCTTTATCAACTACTAAGGCCCTAAGCATTATTACTAAAGTTTTGACATATTGATTATATTTTTTAGTATAGATTATACATTATATTTTTTTGATAAGAAAAAGGCTAAATTCCATTAATAAAAAAAGTGAAGATTACATAATAAACCTTAATCTCTAGATAACACTTGGTCATAGAAGTTATGTCCTATATATACATACATACAAATATATATATATTTTAAACACAGCTAAAATTATATTAATGAAACAAAGCCTACATATATTGAATAAGATTAAATTAGAAATTTCAATGGATTAGAATGGTTTAATCTATTAAATGTGCAAAAAAAAATTAAATTAAATTTATAAAAAAAAAATTAATTATTATTTATAATTCAAATATTATTATTCACTAATAATTGCTCTTAGACAACTAAATCAAATGAAGATACGATTAAAATGATTTCGTTTGCAGGTCATAGAAGAACATCCCGAAGACTCTCCCCAAGAAAATCAAGTAAAAATGCCTCTCCTCGTCTATGTGGCTCGAGAAAAAAGGCCGTCTCACCCACATCACTTCAAGGCTGGTGCCCTTAATGTCCTAGTGAGTAACAAAAAAAAAAAAAAAAATCTTTCCAAAAATTAATTAATTCCCAAATTAATTTTTTGAAATGGCTTAAGTTTTTTATGAGTTGAAGAATTCTTGATACAATCCCCTAACTATTATTGCAGTTGCGGGTCTCTGCTCTTTTGAGCAATTCTCCATACCTACTAGTGCTTGACTGTGACATGTATTGCAACGACCCAACCTCAGCTCGACAAGCAATGTGTTTCCATTTTGATCCCACCTTCTCCTCCTCTTTAGGATTTGTACAATTTCCTCAGAGGTTCCACAACAATAGCCAGAAAGATGTTTATGACAGTGAGATTAGATACATATTCTCGGTATGTGTAGAAAAATAGTTAAGTTTATTTGTTTTTAATTAGGTACATTGCACTTTTTTTGGGTTTTGACTGCCCAAAAATTATTTAATTACAATTCATATATTATTAAGACGTTACTTATACGAAAAGAAAACATATAGAGTAATATAAAACCATTATGATCAAGAAAATTATGTAGAATGATGGGTTTGTTGAATTAGTTTATACCCCTAATTCAGATGGCGTGGAACGGTTTCGATGGATTGAGGGGGCCGATTTTGTCTGGTTCGAACTTCTACATTAAGAGGAAGGCATTATGCAGCGGCTCAAGACCGGAAGGTTAGTAATAGATGTTATTATTATTATTGTTATTTATATACATGAGACGGTTAGTACTTTAAAATATTTTCTCTTATTATAGAAATTCGGAAGGAAGTAATCAAATAATTAAAGGAAAATTTGAAAAGAATGGGGTTATGGCCAATGGGGTATTTTAAATGGCAAACCAACACATAAATATACAAACTTTTATTATTCCTAAATAAGGATCTCTACCTTTTTTTTTTCCTATAAAAAATATATTGGATGGAAAACAAGCAGTATTTTGCGTGTTATAGCTACCATCTATCATCACCAAAGGTGGGAGATTTGAACCTTAGAATTTATATACAAAAATTTTATAACATGATTCATAATATGTTACGTGACACGATAAAAATAAAGACAATGATACATATATTGTGCAAAGTTACATATTTATGGTCTCCGTTACTTAATCCATTACATACTTCTCTCGTAACTCTCCAAATGTAGCTAGCTCTTTTTTTCTCTCATTCCTTTCCTTTCTCCCTTTCACTGTTTTGGCCATGATTTTACAATCCATTAGACACATAAAACAAATCTATTTTTTAAATGATATAGCAAAAAATGGAGTGCCTGTGAGTGCAGCCAATTGGTAGAAAAGGGAAAAGAAAATAGGGGAAATTTTTACAATTTTAATATTATGCGCAGTTTTACCATTTTGTTTTATCTACAAAAGTTCACCATTGGACTGAGTTGAAAATTTTGTTCGAGTATTCAAGAGACATTAATCTACATTCTAAACGGTCAATTTTTGTTTGGAGCTTTGTAGATTTTAAATTTGTGCACATAACAATTGCTCGTTTTTTGTGATCTATTTTTTTGCAATTTTGGTACTGTACCCAGTTTTGCTATTTTATTCAACTTGCAAAAGTTCATCATTGGATTGAGCTAAAATTTTGTCTAGGTGTTCAATAGACATTGATTTATATTCTAAATGATCAGTTTTTTGTTTGGAGTTTTGTAAGTTTTGTATGTTTTGATTTCGTGCCCAGAACAGTAACTTGTTTTTGGTGAACCATTAATGTGTAACGGATTAAATAACATAGACCGTTAATGTGTAAGGAAGTGTGTAACTTTGCAGAATGTATATATTATTTCCCCAAAAACAAATATTATGTGATATGTTAATGTGTTTTGTTTTGTCCAATAATAGGTATAAACCTTGAAGAAGTCAAGAGCACTTTTGGTCCCTCCAATGAGTTCATTAAATCCCTTCAAGACCATAAGCACAATCTGATGATCAATGAAAGAAACTCTATGGAAGTGGCCAAAGTTTTGGCCTCTTGTGCCTATGAAGATGAAACAAAATGGGGTGAAAAGGCATGTTTTTTCACTCTAAGAATCTTAATTTTGTGGCTTAAATTTATGCTATAGCTAAACGCTAGCTTGTTTACCAATAAAAAAATTTATTCACACTTAGGCTAGAAAATAAACTAAATTGATCGAATCGTTAGAAGTTAAAAAACCCCATTCTTTCTAATTCTATATTGATCAGGTAGGTTTTCTGTATCATTCTCTGGTGGAAGATGTCTTCACAGGATTCACTTTGCACTGCAAGGGCTGGAGATCTGTGTATCTTAATCCGAGGCGGCCGCAGTTTCTGGGGACTGGAATAACAAGCTTAAATGACAGGTTGGTTCAGGGCACAAGATGGGCAGCTGGGTGTGCTGAAATTTGCTTCTCAAGATTCTCCCCTCTCATATATGGGCCTCAACAGAGGATGTCTCTTCTTCAGACCATGGGCTATGCTGAAGTTACATTTATCCCTCTTCTTTATAGCACTTCTGTTTGGTGTTTTGCCACCATTCCTCAACTCTGTCTCCTCAATGGCATCCCTCTGTACCCTGAGGTAAGCTCTGGGACTTTTAAAAGACAAACACTACTACAACCCATGATTTTTTTAATGTTATTTTCTAGAAAATATCACTATTTTGAGGCTGTTTTGGCTAGTAAAAACTTGTACGGATGTAACCTCTTTGTCACCAGTAAAAACCTAACATTAATGAGTACTACAACGTAAAGGTTGTGTTTGTTACGCAACTTCTAAGGAAAATTGTTATTCTCATGAATAGTTGAATGATGTTTAGTTGACTTAACGCTCATTTTCTTAATAAGGCGTCTTTTTTGTCAAAATCAGTCAAAAAAATTTTTTTTTTTAAAAAGTGAGGATCTAATTGATTAATACTCAGCAAGATCTTATATTTTAAAACTTGTATATAATATATGTCTAAAACATTAAAAACCTATAAGACTTTTTATTTGGATTTTTAAAATCCCTATTATAAAATTAATAATCACTAATCTTTTTAATTTTCCTTGTTTTACAGGTTTCAAGTCCATATTTTAGTGTATTTCTGTTCATTTTTCTATCAGCACTATTTAAACATTTATATGAGGTCCTCACAGATGGGAGGCCAATCCGGACATGGAGAAATGAACAGAGGATATGGATGATACAATCAGTTACTTGCCAGTTGTATGGAACCTTGGATGCTGTCATGAAACTGCTTGGTCTAAGGGAAGCCAGCTTCATGCCTACTAATAAAGTCATGGACGGTGAACAAATGACACGATATGAAAAGGGTGTCATCGATTTCCAGGCATCAACTATGTTTGTTGCTCCGTTAGCTACCATTGCAATCGTGAATGTGGCATCCCTTGTTGGAGGAATCATTAGAATGGTCATTGTCGGAGATTGGAGAAGGATGTTGGGACAAGTCTTGCTCTCTTGCTACATATTGGTCATGAATTATGCAATAATTGAAGCGATGGTGATAAGGAAGGACAAGGGTCGGATTCCATTGAATGTCACTCTGTTATCTGTTGCATTTTCAGTTATTTTCCTGTCATTTGGATCTATCATTCTCATTATGTCCGAAATGGCATTTTGAAATTGTTTCTAATTAGGTGAAGAATGACTAGGAATGAACTTTGATATCATTGTATTTCATTGTATTTGGATTTGATGAACTATCTGTTCCTGCAAATAAATTTTATGCACATTCCTTCTGATGAATGTGCTTTCAAAGATGACATGAACAAGAAACTCCATAGGATTAATATGATATATTATCAAAGAAAGGAAAGTACAACATTTTTATCATTAAACAATACAAAGTATTGGATATAGATGAAGAAAAAAGGGGGCAAACAACGATGGACCTCATATGAAAGAAACCAAACAAATTATTGAAAGCCTCTAATATCTCCCTTGTGAGATAAGAAAGATCTAGAAGGTCGTCTAGTATGATAGGAAGTAATGATATTGTCGCACCATTTCATGGGCTACTTTGAAGAAGGTGGGGTGAAAGGGATGGATGGAATGGTAGGAATTGAGGGGACTGAAGGAATTGGAGGCGGAGTAACAGTTGGGGCAGGAGGAAGAGCAGGCTGTGGGATTGAGGGACTGCTTGGAGGAGAAGGGAGTGTACCGGGGGGCGTTGGTAGAGATGGAGTTGTAAGCGGTGGGGTAGTTGGGATGAATGGCAATGGTGGCAGTGGTATTGTGGGGAAATTAGGGATGGTAGGCAGAAATGGGAGTTGCAGAAGATGCCGAGCAGCTAGACCAACATTCATGCCTGAGAATGACAAGGCCATGAAGAATAATGCTAAGATAAGGCGATTGAAAGAAGCCATTCTATTGATTCTTAGGGTATTGCAAATCAATGGAATTTTTGTTTATGGGTTTGGTTGAAGAAATCAGGAGAGAGTGTGGTTTTTATAGCTTGCAAACAGGGGACTTGGTGGCGGCCTGGCCTATGAGGCTGGTGAAGAAAGGATGGACTTTTAGCCTATAATGATGGGTTTGCTCATCTCCCCATCTGGCATGCCATTGAATAAAATGCCAAATGTATAGAAGTTCGGCATATGAATTAACACTTCAAATTAAGGTTATCTAATGCTTAATTCATTGTAAAAACATATTTAAAGTAAAAAAAAAAAAAAAAAAATCCAACACTTCCAAGCAGAATTATCCATTAGCATTGTGCCACGAGCAACCAAAATTTTAAAATTTAAAAGATCATTTTTGGTATGACCAGAAAAAGAAAAGGATGCATGTTTGGTTGTTTAATTATTTTTATTTCCTTGATGGAGGATAGAACTTTGCTTGTTTAAATTTTGACAATGAAAACAATTTTCTTTTTTTCTTTTTATGTTCAAGTGTCTCTAGGTCAAGTTTTCTACAATTTAAGATTGATTCTTTTTGAACGATTTTAAAAACCCATCTCCCATATTAATTTGATACATTCAAAAACTCTAATTTCCTCAAATACTAGTCCTAAAACTTGAATTCTTAAACTTCACTTATAAAATATCTACTTACCAAAAAATTCAACTATAGGGGTTAATAATGAAAATAGATAACAAATAATGACAATGATGCTAAGAGAACTTAAACTTAGACTTTTTTGCTGTGCCGAAAGAAAATAAGAGAACTTAGAGGACATTCAGGAAAATCAGCCCTGAAATTGCGAAAAACATGAAATCAAAACAAAATGAAAGTAACATGCAGATACAGGAAAAAAAAAAAAACACAAGAGTTCTAGAACAAAGCCTCTTGCAGCCAAAGCCCACCATAGGTAATGACTCTGTTTGGGTTAAGTGCAGTAGATAGGCTTGCAACCATTAGCCCGCTGTTGATAGGCCTGTATCCATTAGCCCACCATAGTCTAGCCCATTATAG